TCAAATGTGATCAGTGTTTAAAAATAGTTAGCATCTGTGTCAGTAAACTCACAAATAACCTTGCTTTACTGTTCAAGAGTTCCCGAAGAAGATAGTTCAACCAAAACAAGGTTAAGAATGGCTGCCAGCCTGAGACTTTTCTTGATTTATACTGACATATATGTCCACTGGCTTTTACTGAGTTACTTTTTGTGTTGATCTGGCAGGGAACAGGCAAATGTGATTAAAACAGGCTGGGGGGGGGGAAGGAAGAATAAAATGGGAGTGAGTGATCTACGGAAAATTATAGAAAGGGAACGAAAAGGCAGAGGCAAAAGTAGAAGACAAAAATACAGGTGATTGTTATACATTATCTAGGCTTATTTTCTGTGGAACAGTCTTCCCCAATGGAGTGTTGTCTAGCTGTATTGGACAACCACTGCGATATTCCCCGGCAACATGGCCAATAGTAGGGATGAATGAAAGATAGCTTTGCATTTTCCTTTATTTGGGTTTTTTTAAAGTCAAGTTCTCTCCCCGCCCCCTCAAAGAAATTTGTGAACTTTGTCAAGTTTGTACTGAAAGTAGAGAATCTTCCAGACACAGCATTAAGAACCAGTTTGGGCAACAGTTTTCCTTGACATCGAGATAACCTTTTTCTTATCTCACTCTGTGTCAGGTTCCCACCCTCAACCAAGTTTCCACACTTTTTTCTGCTTCCCAAGGTGTTTGGTTCTGTGTGTGTGTGTGTGCGCGCGCACGCACTGCTATTGGGAGGAGGGGCAAAGTTTAGCGCTATAGCCCTTCCCAGGCATTCCAGCGCTAATGCATCCAAAGCAAGAGTCAAGAAAGCACATAGGGAACAGCACATTGTTACAGAATCCTAATACAAACCCACCACCTTCCAGAACCCAGAATTAATGAGATGTTTTTCTGTTCCTTTCCCCTTTCTTACATTTTTTAAAAAAAGAAAGCAATCAAAGCTGGAGCCAGACATACAACTAAAATATGAAAGATAAGAAGAGCGGGTGGCAACAATTCATCAAGGAAGAGGAGCACAGGAGGAGATGTTATTCTTCAATTTACCAGTGAGTCAATCTCACAGCAGATAAATAGATGAACACCTCCATCTGCTGGTCACTGAAGGACCTTGAAGAGGTAGGAAAAGAGTTCTGGGACACAACCTGATCACCTGCCACAAAGTGACAAAAAAGGAGGAAAACTAAAGGGGAACAAATATTGGGTTTGGAAGAGCCCTGAACATAAATGCTCACATTTCTATCCTGTCCAAATGCAATAGATGCGACTTTTCTCAATGTAGACAACATTATGTGGTAACTGGCTGAAATATGGTTGTTATAATGAGTTGCCTGTTGGGGGCGGGGGGGGAGGAAGCTCAGGGCCCTAAGACAGCAGCATAGATGGAGTTGAATTCATCAGGTATTCAAAAAAATCAGCTTTTAAAACTGAAGCTTTCACAACCCTGAAATCAAGCCAGTGTTCCAGAGCCATGATTCAGGAAGGCTTTCACATCTGGGAAATGAGACTTGCAAATTAAAAATGTGCTTACGTCTTGAAAGCCAATCACGAAACAACGCAATCTAATAGGCAAACCTCAGGAGGTGAGGAAAGCTCGTGGTGTGACAAATCACGCACAGTCTGCACTTACAGAATCATTTCTCATCATGACAAATTATCTGTCAAACATAGCCCAACTTTTAGTTAAGCCTATTTCAGACACTTATTCATATTAAATTAGGGTAAAAGTACAGGTCATATCTGTAAATATGAAAGCAACTAAAATGTTACAGTTACATACCAACATGTATTTATTTAAAATACTTTTACCCCACCATTCTTTTAAAAAAGGATTCAAGGTCCCTTACATCATTAAAAACACAGTATTAAAAGCTAAAAACAGTAACATTCAAATATTTAAAAAGAATTAAATAAACATTAGATTAAAATATTAGGTAAAACTAAGACATTATTAAAACAGATGTATAAGCAACAAAAATACAAACCACTCCATTTAAAAACCTCTCTTGCCCAGCCAGTCAGTTTGCTAAATTAGAAATTATAATTGAATCTATTATAGGGTACCTGAGGCTCATCAGAGTTCTACTCCAAAAGATCTAGAGGATAAAAGGCTGCCTATCCCAGCAATAACTCAGTAATTAGGATTTAAGAGGGGCATGGTGATAGGAGAGGTACACAATGTTCACTTGCTACTGAGAGAAGATCCTTTTTCTCAAGAAATGTCTAAGAGCTCCTTGCACTTCTTTATTCCTGAAGCTGTAAATGTAGTAAAGTCTGATCCTTGCTCGGCTGAGTAGATGGAGGCAGGTTGGAAGTAGACACCAGTGAAGGACCCATAGAAAAATGCCACCATCATGAGGTGAGAGCTTCAGGTGAAGAAAGTTTTGCACCTTGCTGTGGAAGGCAACTTCATCACAGCTGCCACAATGCGAACATCAGTGAGAATAATGAAAGATGGCAAAAGAAATCTGAATGTGGAAAACATCAATGTAAGCAGACAAGATAATTTACAGAGTCCCTTCTTGTATTTGCCACAATCATGAAGAGAAAACAAGCGAAGGAAAATACCAGAATCAGACTCATTTTTTTCATTAGTTAACCACTTCTCACCCATTGTTGGTTATGACCAAACAACCCCATTCTCTCTAATGGCATAACTGGCTCTGGAAATATTAGAGCTATGCAAAAGTCCCCCAGTTTGATTTGAAATCCAACTTAGGCCTTCCAAAACTATCGTAATTCATCTGAGAGCAATTTCTGCCCCATCCAATTCAAATGGTGGCCAATTGATTTGTAAATTCCCATTCACTTGTATTAATCAAAACAGCTATAACTTTTTTGTTTTTTCAGTGTTGTACATGAAATTTGGAGACGTTGTATGCCCTAAATGGGATGATATGCAGGCCAGTTTTGAGACAGACAGACAATATGTCTCAAAACAGTCTATTAGGCTGAAGCTATTTGCACACTATGCAGTTTGATTTGTACTCTGGAACTGAACTTATTTGTAAATTTGCTTTGCTCCGGAACAGAATCTGGCTAACAAAATCTTCAGATTAGGCCAATTTGTGCATATATTTAGTGCAAACATTTTTCTTGTCAAAAGCCTTATCATCTTAATTGAAATCTCTTGGAGAAGGGTCCTGTATTCCAGCAGGGGGCATGGGCAAAGCACAAAGTGGTCAGATGTGAATCTCCTTTTCTTCAGTTACTTTTCTGGAGTATTGCATTAAGACTTTCTCAACCAGCATACCGATGCTGAGTGGCTGATTCTACAAGTAGTAGTCCAAAAATGTAGCTTTTCCAAAGTCTGAAGTACAGGATATCCACATCCATGGATTTCCAAGCCCTTCCCTTAGCAAGGTTCTTTCCACCATGCTTCCAAATGGATGACAGAGCAGAGTGACCTCAGGAACACCAATAACCCAGAACAGGGCAGTATCCTGGCAAGAGCTAGAGGGTCCAATAATAGATCCTGAAGGCACAGGTTTGGTCTGATAACTGGAGGTGGCTTATCCCAATTGACACTGGCTGGCTGCTGTTTTCCAGGATTTCATAACAAAGATATCCCCATACATTACTGGAGAGAGCTAAAGTTGAGTAGGTGAAATTTTTGCAAGCAACATGCCCACTCTACCAGTGAGTTAACCAATATCTTCAAGATAGCAGAGAGGAGGAACACACACATTTAAATGAATGACTGGATTCATCTGCTTTATTCAAGCCTTCTAGCTCCTGATGTCAGATACTAAGATAGCTGCTTCCACTCTGCAGTCCTACAGAGATTTATAGACCTCCCAGACAAAGAACAGAACCCTATGATTCGTCATAGATGACATTCAAGGGTTAACCCCAAAATGAAACCAGACAATCAGTGACAAGCATTTCCAAACTCATCTGAGTATCTGATTATAAGTATTTTCATTGTTGCAACAATTCCAGGCAACGTCAAAACTTATTAATTTTGCACAAGTTTTATTTCTACATCTTCTAGGTTCCATATGAAAAACATAAAATCCCAAAGTAGTAAAAACACGTAACCTTTAAAAAGTCGCAGGCATGTCGTTTTAAAAACTATCCTTACAGCTATTAAGAAAGTTGTTGATGTAAACTGCCGAACTGTGGTTCGTGCCTATCTCTAATTGGTAGTCAGAATTCCCTGAAAAGGCCAGGACATGGCTGTGTAAATGTTGCCATAGGAGAGCTTATCGCTACTAGAGCTGATCGCTGTGTGAATGTTCCAGTCCTCTTCTCAAGGGCAAATATGGCAACCTACCATATGACCAATTCTCTAGGGTAACACCAGGAGACAGACTCTAGGTCATTTTGATACCAATAGACTGTGTTACGGGATTACATGTTGTTTTATACCCCTTTTCAAAACAGTTACGTATTATTAATTATAAGACTAAAGACTTATAAAACAAATTACATTTCTTTCTCTTATCTACTTGCTTATCATTAAACAAACAGCTGGATAAGATTCATTTTTTATTCTTTTTATAATATCTTGTAAAAGCTCATATTGTACAATATATTGATATTCTCATTTGCCTAACACAGGTTTCTACCTGTATTTTGTGGAATTTTTGTCATGTAACATTATAGGTAAAACACAACACATGCGAAATTTATAATACACTTATTTTTTTATTTTTCACATTGGATCATCGTTTTGTTGCTTACTCTTTCTTGCAAAAACTGGCATGAAACCAAATAAGTTGCTTGTGCCTTATTATCTTATTAGTAGCTTTGTTCCAAAACAACTAGACTTACTTGTAATCCATGGAAATCAAGCTGTAATCATGCCTTACTTCCACATTAAAATCACTTTAAAATCACTCCCCCCCCCGCATATTTTGAAAAGAACTTTTCTTTTTGAGGGAAACACCTCTGCACTCCAGAATCTCATTTAAAAAAAATACTGACAGTATTACTTGGAATGATTAGTATGGAAGATTTATCTTGACCAGTGTTTACTATTACCACTGAGAAAGGATCCTCCTTCCCAGGAAATCCCTCAGGGCCACTTTCACTTCGTTATTCCTCAGACAGTAAACATAAGGATTGGACATTGGAGTGATGATGGCGTAAACCACAGCAAAAATAGACCCCCTCTTGGATGAATAGCTAGATGTGGGCAAAAAATAGACACCAAAGGTCGCGCTATAGAAGAGCAGCACTATGGTAAGATGGGAACCACAAGTGGAGAAAGCTTTGTGCCTTGCTGAGGGTGACAGCTTCATCACAGTTGCCACAATGCAAGCGTAAGTGAGTATAATGAAGACAACAGGTCCAATGATTATGATTCCAGCTTCAAAGAAGATGGCTGCTTCATTGAGGCTGGTGTCTGAGCAGGACAGTTGTAGCAAGGGCTGATGATCACAGAAGAAGTAGTCGAGGTGATTGTCTCCATGGTAACTAAGACGCAGGAGGAGGCCGGCATGGAGCATAGAGTGAAGGGTTGAAATGATGAAGCAGCCAACCACAAGATGTCCACAGACCTTCTGGTTCATGACTGTAACGTAGTGCAGTGGATTACAAATGGCAATATAGCGATCTAGAGCCATAACGCTCACCAAGAGGTGATCAGAAACAGCAAACACATAGAAGAAGAAGAACTGAACCAAACAGTTATAGAAAGGTATAGTATTGTAAGAGAAAATAATTTGAGACAACATTTGGGGCACAGTGACAGAGATGAAGCCCACATCTACCACAGAGAGATTACGTAGCAAGAAGTACATGGGTGTGTGGAGCCGAGCATCCACAGTGATGAGAATGATCATCATGACGTTCCCCATAAGTGCTGCTCCATACATCACCAGAAAAAAGAGGAAAAGGAGAAGCTGCTGTCTAGGCTCTGAAGAGAAACCCAGAAGAACAAACTCATCAATGTCTGTGCCATTCTCACAGTCCATGTGATCTAAAGAGAGAATCACATCATATAGGTTTTATGAATTAAATTGCAGTGTGGTCAAAAAATGGGCCTACTTAATATTGAAGAAAAGCTTGAGAATTATTGTTGTTCTTCTTAGGATCTCGTTGAGATGCATATTCCTAATCATTCTATTGTTCATTCTATTATTCAAACCCTGGGTATTTTCTATACTTGCAGGACATTCTTTTTCCTGTATGTCCTGATCTGCTGATAGTCTGTTTGCTAATATGATGGGGAAATGGTAAACTATTAAATATTTTTCCATATGGTGTATCTTTTAATATTAACAGCAATGTAAATTTTAAACAGTACTGTACTCTGCGTAAAGAATAAAACCCTTCAACTAACAAATACTGTTATACACCCACTACCAAGTAATAAAGGATGCTAATACTCATTCTGTTGCTTAAATGCCGATAACATCTCAACCTGCTAAATCTGCTTCATGAAGAAAATATCTACCTGGTTAGCAATGATGTTCTTATTACAGCGCAATCCTGTCATACACACACCAGGAAGGTATGTGCCTTCCAAGAGCAGAGGGAGAAGTCTGTCTTGGAAGAAGAGATAGAACATGGACTATCTCCATTTTCTACGTGGAGAAGGAACTACCTGTCCCATCCTGTGTCAAAACCACAACTGAAAGAAAAAGGAGTGTGTTATGGATGGTCTGTATCTTATAAATACAGTATAGCAGAATTTTTTTATTTTTGTCATTGGAGATTTCAGAAATTGTAAGAATTAGAAACAGAAGCTTTTGCAAGAACAGTTCTGAAATCCTATATTGAACCACAAGGTGGGTGACATCTCAACTGGTCATGCCAGTTTAGGGTTATTATTAGGGAGGCTACACTGACCAGCACCCTATTATTGAACCTGTCAGTTTAAGTCCACAAGCATAAATCTCAGAGGTAAATTACCATTAATCAAGACAAGCCAGACTTGCAAACTTGTTTCTAGCAAATGGGAAAAAGAGACTCTGGTCCCCTCTGTTTAAGAACATGTAAGAAAGAAGGATTGAAAATAGTATGGGGACAACAAGACATTGGAAAAAGCATAAATGAGGAAGATATGGAAAATGAGGGTTTTGAGATTTATGTCAGTGAGAATAAAGGAAAACTTTTTAAAACTCAGTTTAAGAGGGTATTTAACACCAATAACATTAAATAAAAGTTTAAAACTCGGTTTAAGATGGCATTTAACACCAATAAAATTAAATAAAATTAATGCTAGTTATCCGAATGTTTGTTGGAAATGTGAGAAAGAAATTGGTACAGTACATACTTTCATATGTGGTGGGAATGTGAAAAAGTACAAAGATTTTGGAAACGAATTTTTAAAGAATTAAACTACATGTGTGAAGAAGATATAGAATTTAATCCTGAGACTGCTTTGTTATCAATATTCGAGAATGTGGAATATGATAAGATAACTAAAGAAGTGATAACCAATTTATTAAAAGCAGCTAGATTGATAATAGCTAGACAATGGAAATTAAAATCTGATTTTCAAATTGAAGATTGGTATAAGGAAATACAACCAATTTACAGTGGACCCTCGATTTATGGAATTAATCCCTATTGGAACGATGACTGCAGGTCGAAAAGTCTGCAGGTCGAGTCTCCATTGACCTACAATGCATTGAAAACCGATTAATGCCGTAACTGGCCATTTTTGTTCCATTTTTGTTCCATTTTGGGTTTTTTCTGGTCTGTAGGACGATTCTCCGGCTGAAAGTCGTACCTAAATTTTGCAGCCAGAGAAGTCTGTAACTCGAAAAGTCTGTAAGTGGAGTCGTCTGTAAGTCGAGGGTCCACTGTACTAACAGCGGCTAGATTGATAATAGTTAGGCAATGGAAATTGAATTTCAAATTGAAGCTTGGCATAAGGAAATTTCGAAGGGGCAGAGGAACTAGGGACCAAATTGCTAATATGCGCTGGATTGTGGAGAAAGCCAGAGCCAGAAAAACATGATTATTTTTTAAAAAAAGAACATATATGCTTTGAAAGCAGACATCATTGCACTGATTCACGTTAGAGCACTGCTTATGCCAATAAGTGTTAATCATATCAGAGGAAACCTCAGAACTGTTAGAGCCATACAACAATGGAACCAATTACCTCGGAAGCACTCCAGTGCTAGAGGCATTCAAGATAAAATTGGACAACGATGTGTCATATCTGCTTTGATATATTCTTGCATTCAGAAAGGGTTGGACTGAGTGGCCTTATAGGTCCCTTCAAACCAAATTATTCTATGATTCTATGGTTCTATGATAGGAGGGGTGAATGATGGTTTAAACAATAGGAACAGGAAATGGAAAGGGGTATTGAACCCACCTTCCTTTGATTACTGGTAACAGTCCCCAAATCCCACTCCCAGGCATTATCCAGTGATGCATATTTCCATTCTTCAACCTAGCAAGAGCAAAACACCTAGGCGAAGTGAGTCAATGAGATTTAGCAACTCTCTGTTGGCCAGTTGTTGTATGCATTATATCATTCTACCTAGTCAGAACTGACTTGACAGTGTGGGATTTGGGGAGTTATTTTTTTTTTTAAATGAACCTGTCCAAGCTCTGTTTCAGCCAAATGCCTAGCCCCTGCTCCTTAAACTTGTATCTTTTTGACTATGGCCACCATTTTTGGTGGCTATAGAGGGAGATGAAGCAAATTCATGGAGGATTAGGGTGGCCATGGCTACTAGTCATTATGACTATATACTACCTTAGGATATAATACCAGTTGCTGGGTAACGTGAGCAGGAAGGTGCCACTGTATTCATTTCCTGTCTATCATCTTTCCACTTGGGCATCTGCTTGACTACCGTGGTAACATAATGTTGGACTAGACAGAAAGGCTTTCTGTCTGATCAAGCAGGACTCTTCTTATGTCTTTCCATCAATAACAGCACCTCAGTCTCATGTCAGCCACCAGTGGCTGGTTTGTTTGGAGGTTCCATCCCATTCTTACAGGAGAGAAAAAGGAAATGTAGAAAGCAGGGCAAATAGGTAACTAGGATAATGTTATCATGAGTCATGTCCCCTCCCCTTCTTCTTCTTCTTCTTCTTAAAAACAAAAACAAAACAAAACCCAATCAATTCCTCGCTGTTGGGGAGGTCCAGAGCATGGTGTGTGTAAGGGAACCAGCTTTTTCTGAACCAGCTGACATTGTAAAAAAAGCAAACACAAACTGGAGAGGCTCACATTGAAGTTCTTGAAAGTAGGAATGTATGAGAGGTGCTGGAACATAAGTGATGACAAGATGGCCAACTCCATCTTTAAAGTTATCAGCTTCTTGTAGTGTGAGCTGTGGTTGGCACGTTGATGCAAATGGGCAGTGAAAGGCAAAAGAAACAGAAGCTTAGAAAGGGTCCTTTCATAGCCAAATGACAGTACCAACCAACAGGGGGAGAAATAGAAGACACAATCAGTTTGTTTATTCTGTGACTCTGATGTAAAAAGGATTCCATCCCCAAATAAATGTATTTGTTTGTTTGTTTATTAACTGTGTGTTTGTTTGATTTGTGTATCACCCGGTTGGCTACCACTCTGGGAAGCCCGCAACAGAAAGTAGAACAATAATCAACAGCAATAAATTAAAAGGAAGTATCATCATTAGCCGCCCTGAGTAGACATGGTCTAGAGGGGCGGGGTAAAAATCCAATAAATAAATAAAATAATTTGTTTGTTTGACTTGTATACAACCCAGTTGGCTACCACTCTGGGAGGTCCACAACAGAAAGTAGAACAATAACCAACAGCAATAAATTAAAAGGAAGTAACATCATCCCTTTGTGACCATGTGTGATCACAAAGGTTTCTGGAAGTAGATTATGTGTGCAAGTTATCTATAGGAGCCTATATATGTTGCCTAGACACATTCTTGTGTTCTCACTGCTTCACTGGTCTGTCCACTAAGTAGAGACAGGATGAACATACATTAAACATTAGAAACAATATAAACTTAAAAGTGCAACACAAAATAACATTTAACAAGAAAAAAAATGTTATATGATGCTGAAAAGTTTTTTCCCATAAGTTTTGCTCTGACCGGCACTGTCCAAAAGGGGTCAGACTACAACTCCCATCATCCTGAGGCAGCAAATCACGATGGATTGGAGCCATTATTTGGCACATCTGGAGGTGCCAGATGGTGGAAGGCGGTTTTACACCACACATGTCCAGACAGATACCCATAGATAGACATCCATATTTTGCCTCTACCTCTTGAAACACAGAGGTTAGTACACGAAGGGCGCCAGATGGTGGAAGAGGGTTTTACATCACACATGTCCAGATAGATACCCATAGATAGACGTCCATATTTTGCTTCAACCTCTTGAAACACAGAGGTTTGTACATGAAGGGGCACACGAGCATTTTTACCCACAACAGTGATGGTCTCTCAAAAGACAGCAGCATCAGAGATGGTAGAAAATAACAGCTAAAGCCCACCGCTACTCCTGCCTACCTCTTTCCATATGCTGTGGTGGCTCTTTTTGGATGTAAAATTAAACCGCTGAGAGAAGGAAAAGCCAGTCAGACCTCTGGATGTCTCCAAGTTCCAGGAAGAAGCCAGGGAGGTCCTCTTAAAGGGTGGAGCTGCATTGGGCACCTCTAGAGACATTTCACAAGCATCTTGAAGAGCCCCTGGGATGCTGCTGTCTAATGCCAGGAAGAGAGCACGGAGGAATCACTGTCTCTACAGCAAGCAATTTCCCCCTCACCATCCTTCTCCCCACCATGCTGTCATAAAATGGACTAAGCAACCATTGGGTACAGAAATTGAGGAATAAAATACATACAGAGCAGTTCCCTATCTGCATGTGGTGAAGGAATTGATTGTGTTGAAAAACCATACCCATTTTACAGATGTTGAGGTTACATGCTCTAAGGTTACTGATTCCAAGGAGAAATCACTAGAATCAGCAACATTTCCTGCTAGAGATATGCTAGTCTGTCCCAGAAACTGGTTTGGGTGAAGGATTGTTCTGGGCCAAAGATACTTCAGATACTTAATTTGTGGGGTATAATGGAAATTACTGCTCAGTTTTGGAGAGGGGTGGCAATGGAGGTCCAAACATTCTTTAAAGTTAAGGGGGTTGGGAGGGTTAACAAAAGATCAGTAACAACTGTGCCTGTTGATTTTACTTCTTCCTTCTCATACAACATAATTACTGCACTGCAAATGATCATCTGAGGGGTTCCCATGTCTTCCCACCCTGCATTATTGCCTGTTGGAATAATATTATGCCTTAATGTACAAATCAAACTTCTAAAGCAGTGGCTCCCAACCTTGGCTCCCCAGATTTTCTTGGACTGCAACTCCCAGAAATCCTGGCCAACACAGCTAATGGTGAAAGCTTCTGGGAGTTTTAGTCCAAAAGCATCTGAGGACCCAAGGTTGGGAACCACTGTTTCAGAGGCATTGGTAGAAGACCAGTGGAGAGAGAGCAGGGGTAGCCTCATTGTTGTCCATGGCACAAGAACAATGGTATTTGAAAATAGAAATGAGAGAAAATAGATCATTCCCCCTGGGTCTTCTTTTTTTTTTAAAAAAAACATTTTATTAGTTTTTCAATCTATCTACATTGTTTTGTGCTTGTCAAACATCGTGTTACATGCTTTGCTTACAATTATTTGTTTTTTTACATCTCAGTGTCTTCCCGGTTGTCCCCCCAAATTCCAAACATGTTTCAAACATTCAAACCATTCATATACAAATTTTAGTATATAATATGACTACTATCGTAATATTACTCTCATATTATATAATATTCTCAAGGTCTTCTAATAACATTCTTATTGAAAGTGGTTCCAGATCCATCACCCAGCTTTATATCTAGTTTAGTTTACCTAAAATAAAAAACCACCATATTACATCTTTACCCTGATTCCTGATTAGGACCTCCTTATTTCAATTTAATTCTCCTTTTTAATATGCAGAATATACCCACTGGGTCTTCTTGTTGTCCCCGAGTCCCCAAGACCAGCCCAGAACATTTTGTCAGTTGAGGAAAAGGACAAGATGGTGTGTCTTTTCCATTCCACACACAGTTGATCATTACTTCAACACTCACAGTGGGATAGTTTCTGGTCCACAGCCTTAGGGGACAGGCTTGTTTAGGGAGTCCATGACAAGTTTCATGCTGTCCAGCAGATGTGAACAGCTGTGGAATTGAGAACAAGCCAAGTTGCCTCCACCACTGAACATACGCACACTCCAGCACATACTGTTTCAGACTGATCTTCTCACCTTGCCTAATAGTTAAGCTAGTTTGTTCCCTGATGTAAATAAATAACCCTGTCCCCTCAAACATGGCATGAATTACCTTCACATTTTTTGCTGCCTGTGAAAGGCTTCTAAAACCAAGGAGGCATTTTTGTTTCAGCAGAGGTATGGGATCTGTGTCAAATGGCCTGGGCATCACAGTCAGGGCTCTCGGTGATGAGTATCTTCCCCAAAGCTCATTGTCATCTTTCATCACCAACCATGTGAATGATGTGATAATTCTATCCAGTACAACTCCATCACGATCAGAGCTTGGAAATCAGATACTGGAATCCACATGTAAGAATCTATACTCCAGGAAGGAAGGATGGACAGAAGGATGGGGAGAGGGATGGAAGGACAGACCGAAGGACTGAAGGATGGAAAGACAGATGGAAGGAAGGATGGAAGGAAGGAAGCTCAGTTTTTTGTAGAGAGGTCAGGAAAATGTTGATGTGAATACATTAATAATTTGTAAAACAATGAGTTACATGCACATGCTAGCAATGTTAAAAATAATGACTTCCTTGGTTTGTAAAATTTTATTTTCCAGTATTTCTAGTACAAGTATCTGGTCTTTAACAGTGTCCAAAGCTTTCCTTATGATAAATAGGATCCACTGAATTTTAACACCCTAGGTAGCCTTTTTGCGCTTATTGTACTACACAACCAGCTCTATCCAACACCTGCCTCTAGTTTCTCTGTTTTATTATTGCTTTTATGGAACAGGTTATAAAATAGTGGTAACATAGGTGGGTGGGCAAATACCTGGTGTATTTGTGGCATGGAAGAGCACTGAGAGTTTTAAGTGGCAGAGAACCTAAGATAGTATCTCTGTTTGCTAAAATCACACCTGGTTTTGGGATCAAAACTAACCTGATCACCCCTAATGCAGGGCTAGGATATTATTGACCTTCCAGCTACAATATTCCAGTTCCCACTAGGCTCAGCCAACCTGCCTAATGGTATGGAAGTAGTAATTCACCAGCATCCAAAGGGCCACAATTTTCCTTATTCTTCTGAAAGGGATGACCTGAGTGCGGTAGCAAATTGGTTAGGTGTGATTTGATTGATTATCTTGTAATGTTCTACTGTTGCTATGTGCTGTCAAGACAGAATCATAGCAACCCTAACAAGGCTTTAAAGGTAAGGGAGATATTTCAGGAGTGGTTTTACCATTTCTACCTCCCCATGAGTTCCCACAGCTGAGCTGGGTTTTGAACCCAGGTCTCCTAAGTTCTGGTCCATCACAACATCTGAGTGAACAAAGTGGAACTTAACCCAATATAAGAAAGAATACTATCTGTTAGGACAAATCTGATCCAGACAGACAGACAGACAGACAGACAGACAGACAGACGTCTGCCCATCTGGCAGCCAAGGCCACTGTGAGTGGTTTACAACTAAACAAAAAACAAAAAATAGAATAACAAAATATGACGGCATCAATAAATTAAAAACTGCAAAACAAAATACCATAAAATGCTGTGGGATATCTGGCTGCCAAGGGCACTGTGAGTGGTTTACAACAACTAAACAAAAAACAAAAAAAATAGAATAACAAAATATGACGACATCAATAAATTAGAAACTTCAAAACAAAATACCATAAAATGCTGTGGGAGACATAGTGAAATACAGTGCAATACATTACATTTAATAGCATAAAAACATGGTGGTATGTTAAATGTTACATAATTGGGGGCACTGTTGCATCATATCTGGCATGAGTATCATACTCTTAAGAAGCAATTTGTAAACTGGACCTTGGATCTGATACCTCGCTTCACAATGACCAGGAGAGGTATTTTCTTTAACATAATGAACCGGCTTTGCACTTTTGTGGAAAAAACAGAACTGACCATAATAATTCCTGTCATAATAATATGCATAATGGACTATAACAACACCTGAATATGTTATTAGTCAACTTGAATTTCCTTCTTTCCAATTGAGAAGGAAGCTACCATCATCATCACCACTACCATTACCACATGTCCATGGAAGATCCATTTTCTAGATTTTCACTTCCTCAGGAAATCTCTGAGTCTGCCAAGAAGCCTTAACAGAGCTGCCTTTATGTCATGGTTCCTCAGGCTGTAGATGAAGGGGTTCAACATAGGTGTCACCACTGCATACAAGAGAGAGAGAAAGGTGCCTTTCTTAGCCGAGTAAGCAGAGGCAGGCTGGAAGTAGAGGCAACTGATGGTGCCGTAGAACAGGATGACGATCGCCAGATGAGAACCACAGGTGGAGAAGGCCTTGCGCTGTCCAGCAGTTGTTGGGATTTTAATGATTTCCCAGAATATGCATGTGTAGGAGATGATGATAAGGAAGAAGGGTCCGAGGATGTCCATCATACCTTCTGTCTGTGACAAGATCTTTATGAACCTTGTGTCAGAGCAGGAGAGACTCAGAAGTGGATAAGCATCACAGAAAAAATAGGGGATCTCCCCAGAGTCGCAAAATGAAAGGTGTGATATCAAAATTGTGTACAGCAAGGAATGTAGAGCAGAAATTACCCAAGACCCAGATGCCAGCAAGAGGCAGAACTTGTGACTCATCACCATAGGGTAGTTCAGTGGGCGGCAGATTGCCACATAACGGTCATAGGCCATGCAGGCCAGAAGGAAGTTATCGGTGTTGCCAAAGGTCAAGAAGAAATACATCTGGATCAGACACCCATGATAGGAGATAGTCTTAATCTGGGAGATCCAGTTTGTCAAGATCTTGGGCACAGTGGTAGAAATAAAAAAGATGTCAGCCAGGGAGAGGTGGCTGAGGAATAAGTACATGGGTGTTTGAAGGAGGTGGTCATCAACATGGATAAGCAAGACAATCAGAAGGTTCCCTAAGAGGGCCAACAGGTAGATCACGAGAAAAAGCAGGAAGAAGAGAGACTGGTGTTCAGCCTGGGTGGAGATGCCCCAAAGGGCAATTTGCGATAAGTCTGTCCTGTTCATGCTGGCCATTATAACAACTGTTTGAAAGAAAACACAATAGAATCAGAGGCAATGAAATGGCAGGACCACTTCCTTTTAGATGCCACATATACCACCCTCCCACTTGTCCACTTGAGAAGGCACACTGATGAACAAGGTGAGTTTATTTCCAGTGATGGTCTCAGTTCTTTGGTTGTGTTTTTTTTTTTTTTTTTTTTTTCGGTTCTTTGGTTGTTTTTTTTTTTGCAACAGACTCTTTTTTTCTTTATTACACCTTCCTCTTTGGAGAACATGGCAAAGGCACAGAGAAAACAATACACAGCAGAGTGGAAAGACCACAGTCCCTGCCACACATGTGTAAAAGCTGCTTCAGTGAGGTAGGAATTCTTTTTAAAAAAATTCCTTTGCATCCCATTTTTCTCCCTTTTTTTTGGAATTCAAGGATGTATGTGGACATTTTCCAAAGAGTCTGTCATCCAGGCAAAGAACAGACCCAGACACACTTAAGCAAGTAATGTATGAACCCTTAGAGCTGGGCAACAGTACTGTTACACAGCCATGTGAATACTAGAGATGCCCAGCTCTGCCATATAATAGCACATGATCATTATATTCCTCTACAGCAGTTATGATGGCAAGGTGCAATGCTGGTTCCAGATGTTTGGCTGCCTATGGCAGACGGGCAATGCCTCCCACCCCAAGATGAGACATATGGGACCCTTGGCCAATGGTGCCTGACACAGAAAACATCACAAATATCTCTCTTCCTTCCTGTCATATATAAATAAAATCATAATAAACCCAATAATTCATGATTTGTTTCACTTTCACAATACCCCAAATCTGTTGTTTGTGGCAGCTGCCTCACTCTCCCTAATGGTAGGTCTGGTCCTGGTTAGTTAGGAAAGATCCTCAGCACTGATTGGTCTTTAATCAGGTTTCTGGTCACCTTCATGTATTTCACTGCCATATGGGAGCATCCTCCAGGGAAGCTACAGAGGTGTCCTGCATGTCCACGTAGAAATAAAATAATAGAAGTGTGGAGGTTTATCTCTAAAAGGGCTAATTTTCTGTCTCAAAGATGTAGCTATTATGTGAATTGAACAGGAAGCGTAGATGTAGTTCTTAGAAGCAGCGAAGAAGGTGATCAGGATGTATCTGAACCATACCAGTTTCTGAGTACAAGTGACTGAAACAGAAGCTTGTGTATGCTTGCTTGTGAGTCAAGTCCATTTAATGTCATATAGGATTGCATTGTGAATCAAAGGAGAGGAGAGGAGAGGAAAATGTTCTTTACACTAAAAAGTAAACCAAAGCTTGGAAATTTATGATAGAATTCCTCAGGCAACATCGCTGTGGTCCAAAAAGAGTAAATTTTCTAAATTTGGGATTACACTAGACATTAAAGAGAAGGGTCCTATCCTGGTTTTCTGTATTAGTTTTCCCTGAATACTCATTTTCTCATAGAGGTGCTTTTCTGTCCTGTGAATCCTCTTTGGCAGTTTGAACTTTGACAACCATACAGCTGAGGTCCCACTTTACTTGCTAATTGTGACAAATAGGCTGAAGCTGCAGTTTATTTAAATCTCAGTCAACCCCAGCTTTCAAGTGCTGGGATAAAACTGACTGCCAAGGAGCCCTGGGGCAGGTGGTCTTCAGCTCTTCCTTATTTTGCCTGATCCTTGAAGCAAGGGCGGAGAACTTGGCTCCCTCTAACTGTTGTCAAATGGTTCCCAGTCACAGACTCAGTAAAGCGACAGAGTGACACAGGACGAAGCAAGACCACTGGTCCACCTACAGCTACAAATCTACCCATTCATTCAAAAGGAGATCACAATCAACACATGAATCAACATGCAAGGGCAGGAGTGCACTACCCCAAGCTCCCTCCAAGTGGAGAGCAACAGTCTGCTGCAAGGAACCTCTGCTGTGCAGGAAGGCTTCCTCTGTGACCAAGAAAAATTAAGAAAAAAAAAACCAACAACAGGTTTGCACAGATAACCTGCACAGGTAATGAAGGTGCCACTCTTCAGTTACTGTGCTGTTCCATATGTGAAGAGCACAATCAAAGTCAATCAATCATGTGTTGTCAAGTCAATGTTGACCTTATAGTGACCGTTTTCAGGGTTTTCCAGATAAAGAGTACTCAGAAGTTATTTCCCATTCCCTTCTTCTGGGGGCACCCTGGGACTATGCAGCTTGCCCAAGGCCACCCAGGCTGGCTCTTCCAAGATGGACAGTGAGGAACTGAACTCCCAACCTCTGGCTTCACAGCCAGATCCCTAAATGGAATATGAATTAGACTATTAAGTTCATTGATGTGTGTCAATCCCAGCAATAACATGGAATATAAAAATGTGGGATATGGAAAGCTCGTTCGTGCTTTGATAAAGGGCTTGAGACTCACCTGATCAGGAGCTGCTGCTCTTCCCACAATACCAGTGCATCCTCTTTCAAATAAACTGAAATGGTTGAGGGAGAGAAAATATATTTTAAACTTGCTGTGCAATGGGCTCAGGGAGATTCTTCCTTTTTCCCTTTAGATGCCTTGAGATCCATGATCTCTGGATAGATGAAAGGTTGCAAAGTACAGAGAGCCATTGTTTCAAAAGGAATCTCTCTTTTATTTCGGAGGTTTCAGCCAGTGCCCTTTTATCATCCTCAACGAAGAGCACAGTTCACTTGAAGATGACTTTGTAGCTGCCAAAGAGTAAAGACACTCTTTTCAGTGTTAGAGGTGAGATGGGCTGTGGTGTTCTTTCCCGGAAGGACCTACAATGGCAAATATTCCATTGGGCCAGGGAATACATCACGGCAGCATAGTTGGGTGCATGGGGGGGGGCTGGTCCCAGGAGAGCTTGTTAGATGAAGCATTGTACTCTCACCGTCACACAGTTCCACCAGCATCTGTCTGGATAAAACCATATCAGTGGATGCTTTGGGTTAGACAAAAAAAAAGTTTTTTCCAGGAGAAACAAAGCACTGGAGTGGAAACCATCCAGGAAGTGCTACCAGACTCTCACACCATTCATGTGAACATCTTTCCAGTTATATGTTGAAAATAAATGATGGAATGTAAATAAGATGGATGACAGTAATGTAGTAGCCAGTTGCATATTTCTCAGTTATGGACTTAGGGTGTGACTACATGGCAATGGACTCTTCCAGTTACTCTGGCTTTAACAAGATGCAAATTTATTCAAAATTTCCTAGCTACATGATGTCATTGTAAGTGTGGGAGAAACGTGTACTTTTCTTTGAGAAATCATTTCTTTTTGAACACCTGTTGGGAGGTTGTTTGTTTTAAAATTCTCTGCATCATGCAGTTTTATTAAACCTGTTTTTGGTTGTGTGAATGGCCATATCATTGTATTCTGTGCACAGACGCATTCGCTGTGCTGATATCTTGGTCATATGTTCCATCAAGAACTCAGAAATGATGGCTGCTGTCCAAACTGTTTCCATCTTTTTAAAAAAAATTAATAAACTACAGTATTTGACTTTAGGCACTGGAGTCTTTCTGTTTGCAACACTGATGCAATGCTATGCCACTCAGAGGAAAAAAGAAAAAAGAACTCCATAGAAGATGGTTATGGACAAGGACAGAATGCAGGCAGACTTAGGACCCACCCATAGGTGGATCGAAGTGCCAGTCCTGAGTATGAGTAAAGCAATTTAAAGAGCGGTGTAGTCGCCTGAACCAAATGAACCCGATTTAACTTAGGCTGCCCTATGAGAATGGGGACAGGAACAAAAAGAGCACATGAGATGAACTGATACAATAATGCCCGGATACAACTCTCAGATTCTTTGGGCAATGTAGTGGTACCTTACGGTACATCTACCAATAAATCCTCCCAACATTAGAGCTTAGTGTTTCTCAGGAGTGCTGCCATCAAGCATTGGGCAAAAAGTTTTCACGTAAGAGCTTTCATATGTCATTGAAAGAAGACTATATTGCAGAAGAGTAGGGCAACTATCTCCTCTCTTTGCATTTGGGGTTTGGGTTATGTCAGTTTCAGGGTCAGGCCCAATTCCTAGCACTCCTTTTTATCCACCATATTTATTTCCCCAGGAGTTTAGAACCGTGATAAATAAAAGCAGAGCACAGCCTTTCCTCATCTGCCACATGCCGGATCAGAGGGAATTACAACTTTCACCATGCCCCATCATATCCATTGTCCTCAACCAACATAATTAAAACAGTAAAACGTGATTGAAACTATAGAAACTCTAACATGTGTCACCGTATAAAGAAACCCCACACCACCCAACAAAACAGACCAATTCAGTCAGTTAAAATGTCTGGGCAAAGAAAAATGTTTTCACTGATGCCAAGAATAATAGCATTTGGGACAGTCCCAGCTCTATGGAGAGATAGAATAAAAATGCAAACTTTTTCAACCTAAGAAGTTCCTTGTTAAACGCTGAGATATCTCAAACAGTTCTACTGTTTCCACATGTAAGAATTAATCTGGCATAATTTTTCATGTTTATATTTCATATGTATACAGTAATAGAACCTCCAAAATCTTTTTGCACTCAGAGATAGCCATTGTCCCCTGTCCGACACAAGGGGGGGTCTAGTCTTTGAGAGTAAACAGGTCAGGAGCCACTGAGGCACAGCTGGCTTAAGAAGGACCTTTGCAAAGCAAGCAGCTGGATCTTCTTTAGAAAAAGTATCCCTTGGCAAGCAAGGGTGGAGGCGATGAAGGGTGCCACTCTTGAGCATTCTGTCAAAGTATATTGTAGCCAGTACTTCCAACCACTAGAGCATTGCTTGTCCTTTAGTTGTGATTAACAGTTGGATTTAGGCTTTGGACAACAATTCCCAGGAAGCCTCAGTCAGTAAGGAATTCTGGGACTTGTAGTCCAATAAGATCTTGGGTCCCCAGATTTCTTGAACTACAGTTCTCAGAAATCCTGGCCAGCACAGCTGGTGATTAAAGCTTCTGGGAGTTTTAGTCCAAGAACAGTGGGGAACCACTCGTCTGGAGGGAAAGCTCCTGCACAACAATTGGCAGCAGAAA